AATATAAGCTTAACATGACAGCAAATGTACAACGTTTCGACAAGGTGTTGTCATCATCAGGTGACAACACCTGACAACACCTTGTCGAAACGTTGTACATTTGCTGTCATTTTAAGCTTATATTAAAGTTTTTCTTCATTACCCATTTAAGCCGTCTCCAGCCATTATTACCAACATTTGTTTTACATTTTGATGTTCTGAGAGAGTAAGTTGTCAGAGAAAATCTTACATGATATTTATCCTATTTTCAGAGTGAATGTTGCCTCACTGTTGACAATCATTTTCATGGAGAAAATGGAATATGCCACAGAGTGAGTGAAATTGTTTTTTTTCTCATATTTCGTGAATGTTATTGTAAGAAGTAAATTTGAATAACGTCAAGGTAAGTGTAGGAATGATTTGGTCGTTTCTAAAGCTTGCAATTTTTAACAAGTGATTTGTTTGTTAGTTTTATATCATTCAAAATCAAGTCCTTACTCTTATGTCCTATAGGGTACTAAAAGTTCTTCTTATGCAGTTGATCGAGAGATCTGTTAACTCCAAGCATCCTCACCTCATGTTACGAAGGTATGGTTTTTTAAGTTTATTTATGACAGGTTTCAGTGCCAAATTCATACTTTGAAAGGTGTAATACTCAAACTCAAAAATGAATTACAAAGAAAGAACATAAAATAAGGTGGAATTGTTGATAAACTATCACTTACTCAGTGGGTATTTCTTATTTTATAGAACAGAATCAGTGGTGGAAAAAATATTGACCAACTGGATGGCTCTCAACATGTATAATTACTTGAAGGTAAAAGATGTATCTTTATTTTAAATTAATGCTATTTATTAGAACGTATAGTTTAGACTTTCTTGAATACACAGGCTCTAGGAATTCATGACATATGTTGAACAAGTAAATATATATTAAAAATGATTTTTCAACCTTGTTATGTCTGGTCCTATTCTGTTTGACTACAGTGCATCTTGGTAATAACCCTGCAGCAGTTTCCATAGCAAGAAAGCTCCATCTTAAGGCTGTAATGTTCAAAGCATAAACCTCTTTTCATAATTTATCTGATTTGCATAATCAAAATTGTATTGAACCTTTGTGTATAGTACCAATCAGCACAGAGAAACAATGATAACTGTGAGTTAACCCTAAAATTACTGACTAGTTTGGGTATTGCCCACTAACCTTAATTTTAAATGATTCTAGAGCCTTAACATTCCATAAGCCCAGGTTCAAGTTAGACCTTGTGATTTGACTAGCATTCAGAAGTCCCTTGTTGATTGATAGTGTGTTATGTTGGCCTACTACTACTATATTTTCACGTGGTAGTGGCTCGGTCTAGTTATATGAACTTGTTTGTGGTTGATATTCAATTTCAGTATTATGGTGTGGATATAATTTAGAATTATTATTATTGTTGTTCCTGTACTGCATAAGTAATGTGCTGTGTATCGGTTGGTGCTTGTCCAAAGATTATAAACTATATTTTTTTGAGATGAGAGTACCACGTACATCTCAACTTCTTGGTTCCAAGCATGTTGACGACACATAAAATATTTCAGTAAATACATCTATGTATTTTGCCATTCATAGTTCTAGTTAAACATCAGGTAAATTTGTGTGAAATGACTGGAAAAGGTAAAGTTTTCAATGTAACTGTTTCATGCCTTGAAATCCTGTATAGGACCGAGCAGGAAGTACTTTGTTTCTGTTGTTTTGTGCCGTGAAATACCAGATCGAGAAGGGTCCTGTAGATACCTTCACCCATGATGCCAAATATTCTCTTTCGGAAGAAAGGTTGCTACGGGAACAAACAGACTACTCAACAGTGGTGAGGAATCCCCGTGTTATTATTTATTCCACTGTCTCGTTTATGAGAAAAATGATATCAACATGATCCCAGAAAATCCAAGTTTAAAGAATGGTTTTGTTTTGATGTAATAATAGTTCTGAAAATGTCATTTTTTTTTTAGCAAAAGTTTAGTGCATTTGTAAATTACCTTAACTTTCATTCCAGTGATTTCAGATTATTGTAACTTTAACTGTGTTCTCAATTGGTTAATAACATAAGTGTTTACATCTTGTATACAGACTGTTCACATCGTACAGGAGAATCACATGGAGAAACTTCAGTTACAAGTAAATGACTGTGATACTATTAGCCAAGTGAAGTACAAAGTTCTAGATGCCTTATATAAGAACACGCCTTTCTCCCGTCGTCCGTCAGTACGTGATGTTGATTTAGGTAAGGAGGGATTAAGGCTAAAAGTAATGATCGGTTGTGTGTATTGCAGTCAGTGTTTTCCACTACATTATAACGGTAATTATACACTAACAACAAGATAAACAGTAACTAATATAGTCTATTGTCGACAGAAGTATCTGTTTTTAAACTATCTTTATATTACGGAACTATTTTGTGTACATTTTCCCGAAGAGTAACTTGCCCCCCCCCCCCAAAGTTTGTGATGAAACGTTTAATTTTACTATCTGTGAATTTGTACCATACAGTTCTACATCTGTCAGAGTGGAAACGTGGGAATGGTGCTCAGCTAACCCTAGCCGATGAAGACTTGACCACTAAAACGATCAATGGGTGGAGGAGGGTTAACACCCTACGACATTATGGAGTGACAGAGTCTGCTGTGATTAGCCTAGTCAGCAAACAGAATGATAGTCTTACTTCTGACTGTAAGGGTTAGTCAGAGGTTTTTTTGAATTTTTCATTTGCTGTTTTGTCTAATTTTTTAACTCCATAAAACACACACACAGAAGAGATAATTTGTACAAGTGAATTTATTCTAGAACTTTGAAGTTTTTGTTTTCATCAGCATCTCCAGATCCCTGTGCTTCTTAAAGCTTAAAGAATTAATTCATTCTGTTGTGTCTAGAGCTCTTTCTAAGTTGAACAGTTTTCTTTTGTACATATTTTAGTAACATGAATGTTTAAAAATAACAGAAACCCTGGAAAATTAAATCTAATTTAAACCAGTAAAACCAAAGCCATTTGTTTATAGGCATGTTATCCGTGATGAAATATTTACTTTTTTGGGTGTATGATTAAGAAAAACAAAAAACTTAAGAAAGAAAAAGATTTGGTGATCCTTTTTTTTCCCCCTACATTGATCCGGTCATAGATATAACGAGTGATTTTGTATTATTACAGGGATAGGAACTACATCTTTGAATTCCATGTCACCAATTATTTCCAGCTATGATGTAGAACAGGGTATTCGATATTGGCACTTAGTCAAGCCTGTGGATGATCAGCATTTTACCCAGAAAGATAATTTTCCCAAAGCTATTCCAGAAATCTTCTTAACCAGGCTTCTGTCCACAAAAGTATGCCATTTTATATTTGTATACTTTTAACATTTAGAAACTTTGTTGAGTACTTCTAGATTATTTTGACCAAATGTAATTTCTTATGAAAATACATTTTAAAAAATCTTAATGAAGTTATTTACGTGTCACTGTTCTTGAGTAAATTTTTACTGTGGCATTTACTAAATTGTTGAACATCTTTGTGTTAGGGCACAATCCAAACTTTTGTAGATGATTTCATTACCATGGCACTTACTGTAACTGGAGAAATCCCATTAGCAGTCAAGTGGCTGTTTGATCTTTTGGATGAAGGAGCCAGTAAATATGGAGTCAGTGATCCAGATGTTGTTCATTCGTGGAAAAGTAACAGGTGATTACTTCTATGACAATAGATTTGTACCTATTTATGATTCATGTTTTGGTGATAATTATTGCTTTCACTGTAATATTGTAATTTCAGCATTTGAAATTATCATTATTTATATTGGAGCATTACTACATCATTTTAACCCATGTAACAACATAAGGCTGTCACGTTATAAGCACACTCCATCTACTTGCTGCTGTTCATAATCCATCTAGTGTTTTCCATTTTCATTAAGTCAAGGGAATGTCCCTATCTTGAAAATTCAAAATCTTTCATTTGAACACATCTTTATTATTTGAGGGTTGATGAATTTTGTGCAAGGCTAGCCATCCTTATTTTTGACTAGCGGGAAGGAAGCTGGTCAACACCTCTCACAACTAACTCTTGTGCTGCTTTTTACTAGTGAATAGTAGGATTTACCATCACATTATAACACTAAAACAGCTGAAAGGTTAAACATGTCCGGTGACTGGTGCTGATCCTGTAATCCACAGATTATGATTTGAGCACCCTAATCACCAAGCCATAATTTGTATGTATGTCAAAAGTTGACGACTCTACATGTTTTGATGTTACAACGTTACAACTCCTGAGGATGACGTTGTAACGTCGAAACATGTAGAGTCATCAACTTTTTGAAGGCCATAGATAGGCCTAAATAAAATGTTTTTAACTGTGTACCAGTTTAACGTTGAACATTATTTATGATTTTATATGTAGGAATGTTGTAAACTTTCTGTTTCAATCTCGTTACGTATCAACATGAACTAGTTTTTTTTTTAATTGCCTTCGAAGTTATAACACACTTTCTATTATCGTTATTTTATGAAGCAGAGAAAATCCATTACTTTGTAGCACAGTATTGAGAATTTTATGTTTAAGTGAGGTATTTAAAATACATAAAGAATTTATTGTTTGACAATTCAGTAGGTCTGGTCTGTCTGTTTGGATACACCAGAGATTTTACTTGAAAATAACACTTTCTGTCAGCTATATTTTAAATTTGAATTTATACTATACTTTTTTTTTTTGTACAGTCTTCCACTGAGATTTTGGGTGAATTTTGTGAAAAATCCAGACTTTATATTAGATGTATACAAAACTCCATTATTGGACTCTTGCTTGTCAGTGGTAGCCCAAACTTTGATGGATGCCTGTTCAACATCAGAACATAGACTTGGAAAGGTAAGGCTCTCAAGAAAAAAAAAAACCGGCATTTCTTAGTGTGTTCAACATCAGAACATAGACTTGGAAAGGTAAGGCTCTCAAGAAAAAAAAAAAACGGCATTTCTTAGTGTAGTGCATTTCATAGCAGATATTAAGTAAACATGTTTTTGACGCTAACCTAAATAAGGTTCAAGTGGTATATCTTTATAAAACACAGAAATGGAAAATTCAAGTTTTTAACCAACAAATAACCTTTTAATGGTATTACTACAAACTGTTATTAATTTGAAATTGTAGTTTCTTTTTTAAGAAAGTATGGTACAGTACATGTATTTTATCCTCTCGTTATAGGATTCTCCTTCTAACAAACTGTTATTTGCCCGAGATATCCCAGCTTACAGGAAAATGGTTATGAAGTACTACCAGGACATTAGTGCGCTACCAGTAGTTTCCGACCAAGAAATGAATGCTACAATGCATGCCTTGTCTGTGGTAAGGCCAAGAATGCTATATTAGTTACATCATCACAAACCTGAGGGTTTCTTTTAAGTTTCATTATCTTGCAAACTAAGAGTTGATCTTTATATATGCACATTACAAGTAGGGGCCATCTGTTTTGTGATGATTTAGATATTCATTTTGGCACCTAACCACCTTATCTGGATGGAGAATTACAGAAAAGGAATTTCCCCCACAAACTTTTAGTGCTGCATGTACAGGAAAGCATGATCACAGCAAAGAAAAAACAAAACAGGATACTCCCTGCCTGACTATCAGTTGCACACTAGAAATAACTAAAGTTAAATAACTTGCCTCAGGAAGTGACCGAAGAACTTTGATTCTGATTTAAGCTGTCATGACAACTATCTTAAAATACTACTCTGTAGCCACATGAAGGACTAAACTGGCAATAGCCATACGAGTACTATCTGGTCTATGATAACTGGAAATATATTGTCATTCTTTTTTGTATACAAAGCCATCAGAACCCCTGATCTAAATTCTCTATTTATTTTTTTTATGGGGGGGGGGGGGTTGTTGGGTAATAAGTAGGAGGAGTTAACAGCCCACTGTATTAAATTATTTTCGATGTAAAATATAGCTCCTATATTACAAACCACACTGAATTTAAACATGTCTCTTTCTCTCTACATACAACTATATGAAAACATTTTTTTCAAATTGAGAAGAGGCTTAAGACATGAAATTCTAAATCTTGAAGGACTTTGTAGAATAATCAACAAATAGATGTAATCTGTATTAGTGTTAGCAATCACACGTAAAAGTTCAAGTCAACCTCACTCTTTGATTCTTGGGAATTTGTCCCTTCTTATATTGAATAATCAACAAATAGCTGTAATCTGTATTAGTGTTAGCAATCACACGTAAAAGTTCAAGTCAACCTCACTCTTTGATTCTTGGGAATTTGTCCCTTCTTATATTTAAAACTCATAAAATTACAAACAAAAAATTCAACAATGAAAGAGCTAAAACGTGTGAACACAATTAACGGAAATTGGTAACTTCCCCTCATTCCCCAAGATTTATCCAAAGTAAGTTTTGAATACTGAACATCTGTAAAGTGTGTGCTGCATGTACTATATAAAAATGAATACATTATTTAACTGAAAGCAGCAGCCCTAACGTGGTAAATAACAAAACAAAAACTTCTACTTTAAACTCATAAACTACTTATATGACTGACTGACTTCAAAACTATGTAGGGGGAGGGAACCCTCTTATATAAGTACAATTGACCCCGTTTAGCATGGTTGACCAGAAGTAAAGCAGTGAATGTTGGAGAAGGTTCAGGATTGAACCCACCCAGCTTCTGTGAAAGCATGCGATCCTGGCTAAAGATATCGATAACCAAGGCCAATACATATCTTTGTGTGGGGATGTAAAGAAAGGTTATTATGACTGAATACACACAGATATCGTGGTACAAAGTAGCAAAAGAATTTAAAAAAAGTACTTTTGAAGTTTGTTTTAAAAAAAAGATATTCTAACAAGATAAATAATGCTGTTAAAAACCATGAATTATATATAAGACTTAAATACTGAATTTGTTGAAAAGTTGTGAAAAAGGTATTGATTGCTTTTTCTTTTCTCAGTCTCAAGCAGGAGAGTTTGATACCTTGACTGCTCTTAAAGATCTGTATGTTTATGTTGTCAAGTATAATGAAGAGGTGAGTTACAAGTCTCGTAAGATACAAGATAACCTTGTATGAAATAACCTTAAGAAACAAAGAAAGGATTGCATATATATATATTTTAACCCTCTTTCATCACTACCGATAAAATATTTATGAAGTGTCAAAGCTCAGGTTTGCAGCGTAGATTTAGTGTGAGTAACTTAAAATGTTTTGATTTTAATCCTCTTTCATCACTACCGATAAAATATTTATGAAGTGTCAAAGCTCAGGTTTGCAGCGTAGATTTAGTGCGGGTAACTTAAAATGTTTTGATTTTAACCCTCTTTCATCACTACCGATAAAATATTTATGAAGTGTCAAAGCTCAGGTTTGCAGCGTAGATTTAGTGTGAGTAACTTAAAATGTTTTGATTTTAATCCTCTTTCATCACTACCGATAAAATATTTATGAAGTGTCAAAGCTCAGGTTTGTAGCGTAGATTTAGTGTGATTAACTTGAAATATTTTTTATTTATTTTAGTTGCTGCAAGCCCTAGAAGACGACCCCTTTTGCCAACAAACTCAGTTGACACATATACTCAAGACAGTTGCATGTACTTTAGAAGGAGAAGAGACTTCTGTCTGCTGAAGAAGATTTTAACTGGATGGTGCCAAAACTTATCCTAAACTATGTTATAGGTAATCTGAAGAACTAGGTCCATTACATGTTATAGTAATAAAACTAAAAATGGGATCAACACGAGTGCTTGAACTATTCCTTAAGATTTTTTGATGTATATGTATATTTAAATAATCTTGTCATTCCATTAACTTCATAGAAGTTCAAGCCAAAGATATAATCAAACTTGCTGGTGTTAGGCGAAAAAACTCAGTGGGTAACTCGTAATCTTTTAACTATGTTTATAAGAAAACTGTCAGTGCCTATAAAACAATATAACGAACAAGGTTCAAACTGTGTACATACAAACTTTGCCAAGATCTTTACTAATTTATACCTTTCAACAGTTGTTGGTATTTGGCACTGTGTATATTTTCTTCATTGTGTGTATTGCATGAGGTCCATCCATGTTGGTGCTTGTGAGAAGTAAATTTAACACCTTTATATTTTGTGGATGGAGTTGATGTTTTTTTGTTTTTTTTTAAACGCTGCTGCCTAGACTGTGATATTGTAAAATCCTTATAGACTAGTTGTATGTATGTAATAAACTGGCAGAAGCAAGCTGGATCATTAGTTTCTGGTCAGTATGAATGTTGTTTTGTAATGCTGGAAAATTAATTAGTAATGCTCTTGTAATCTTAAAACTATTTTGAATTAATTTTCCTGAAAAGAAAATACGAGTAATTTACTAGAGCTTCTGTATCAAATCGTGAGAAAGGAAGTTCTTAAAAAAAAAAGAATTTTTCGTGTAATACTTGAAAATTTAATAAATAATGACTGTGCTAAACTCGTTATTTTAGACAGCCGACAGTGCCCGAGAATCCTATTTTTACTCTTTTAATTTACGTAATTTCAGTGTTCTAGTATATATAATGTTTAACTGAAAAAAATAGCTGCTGTAAAAATTTTAATGGGAAACATTCAGTAAAATTCCAATGGAAAGATGGTTCCTGTTCCAACAGCATATTTTTGATAAACCTGTACCAGTTTGGAAGTAAATAAAACTTAGTTAAGTTTTGTTTTGTACGTAAGTGACTGATCTTGTACTTGACATTAAATAAAATCTGATGTTGAGCCTGTCTCCGATTAGACTGTTTTGATGTGCAAAATGTCCGTGTAAAATTATCAACCATATGTAGAAAAAGAGCTGTGACAGGAAAATGTTAAACTTCTAACTTTATCATTTAGCCTGTCTTAAAATTCACGAAGAAGGTGATACCTAAATGTTAATATATCACATACTTAGAGGAAAAAAATTAAGTTCCATGTCAGATAATTATTAGTTTGATTTTTTGCAAGAGCAACATTACTAGGGACAAGATTGAAACTTTGATTGTATGTCACAGTACAGTAAAAGCTTTATTATCAAACATCTGCTGGACTGTGGCAGTGAAAAAATTCTGGTTGCAAAAGCATTTCCCGTACAATATTTTACTGAAAAACCTTTGATACCTTGTTAATGTTCTAAGTACAGTATTTTAAATGCAAGTCGCAGAACAGGCAGCTATCAACTAAAGCTTGCCGGCAGGGCCTCTAAACTACAATGAGCATTTGTATTTAAAAAATGTCTGGGTACAAAGATGCCAGATAACAAATCTTTTACTGTACTCCTGTTTTAAATGATATATTCCTTCAACTAGCCTATCTCTATTTTCTAGAACCCATCAATATAAAATGAAACGGTAGCATCTCAATAAGTGAATGATAAAAATTTTATCATGGAGACACAAGTAAGACAAACTGAACATGGTTTTAGATTTAACTGTGCTATTGTTGGAATGATTATGAAGGGAATAGTTACTCCTTGTCTGTCGTAAAACAGTTTTTTTTATTATATTTCTGATGGAACATTACGCATCAGTTGATCCTGCACAGGAAAGGTAAGGTTTTTAAACAAAACAAGAAAGATAAGAGTTAGTAACTTCGATTACTAAAGAAAAAAAGGAATAGATTTAAGAATGTTATTAGTTTGTATTAAAGTTATTTTTCTTATGGCTTGCCACAATTTAGGGCTGGTAAAAATTAATTAAGGAACAACTCCCAAGATAGGATTAACATGCTTCGACATAAAGGCTGAGGGCTTGTAGTTCTCGTTCAGTTACACCCTGGGGCCAAAGGTGCAACAGTAGAGTTATGGTCAGGTGCATATGGTCAGCATTGCATTACTGGTACTATAAAAAATTAAGTCAGAGAACTAATACTGTGATTTGTAATTTTTTTTTGTAGAATTCTTCACAGTTTAGTCTATAGTGCCTCCTTTTTGTCCTAAACTTGAGTGTCTGAACTAAACATTTTTAATTAATGTTGATAATTATGAAACCAGACAGTGGTATAACTACAAAAGATAGACTCCCTACAGTTATTCCTATTGTCAGCAACTTTTAAGTTTGTCAGGCTCAGTCCCCCCCATCCACCCACTGTCTCTACATTTTTACTAATAGGACAGAACATATTTGGAATGTCCTAGTGTTTACTAGTAAAAAAGTAGTATAAAAGTTAAGGAAATGTTTTGTGTTTCATTACTTTCAGTTGTATTACTGCACTAAGGGTGAGCTGCACAGTTCAAAACTGTAAGTAAGTTTGTTTGTTTTTTTTTACTGGCTTGGTCATGTGTATGCTGCTAGAGCACTGGTGCTTGAGTTTCGATTTTGTTACCACGAGGAAGCAAAGTTTGGAAATTTCCCCAATTTTCAGATGAGTAGAAAAATATTGAAACATTTTTTATTTTTTTTTATCGTGTATCCAAAAATAAGTGTGGCAGTAAAAGAGTTAACCGAGTAATACCGTAATAATAAAACACTGATAAGCTGAAGATATTTAGTATATACAAAAATTATTTGCGATACTCTGGGGAAATAACAAGTTATTAAAGATCATCTTTATCTCATGATGACAAAACCTTGTCGAAACGTTGTACATTTGCTGTTATGTTAAACTTATATTAAAGTTTTTCTTCATTACCCATTCAAGCCGTCTCCAGCCATTATCATCTTTATCTCCTCTTTGCTTCGTAAACAGAGGTTTTTATCATATTGTACGAGAAATCTGCCATCTGCTGTATTAAAATATTACAAACCATTCTTATACATTCTGCAACTTGCTCATAATTCCGAAGAAACACTTAAGTTCACAAATGCTTTAATTGTATAATTGAAGACACATATATATATGTATATATGTACACGCACACACACACAGCAAGTAACAAATTATAAAATTAAAACAAGTAGAATTCCTTGGTAGATATATTCTGTTGAAACATCAGCAATCGTAAAAAAAAAGAAGTTACAAATGATACCCTGTTTCAATTTGGCAATTGTCCAGCCTTACCCTGGAAAACATATGAGGAAATGGACAATCCAGCAAGAAAGTAAAAAGGCAATAGCGACAAGTTGGATTAGGCAGAACAAAGAGGAGCAAGAAAGATTAAAATTAAGGCTGTCACATTCTGGTTTGTACCATGCTTTCGGAACATCAGTGAATCTATCGGCTGTTTACGGTAGACAGGTTATATCCAGATTTGTGACGAACAAACTATGTATTTCTTTCTATGCTGAAAATGATGAGAAGATTCCAATCTTTTGTTGTTTTTCTTCTCTCCAACTAAAACATTGTAGTAGATAGATAAGAATAATTCATAAAATATAACGATTTAGGTTTGTGCCGATGAATTACACATTTCTTGCATCAAAGTGTTAGAGGTTATTTTCGTCAAGGAAATGTTCTGTATTTATAAGCCAGACTATTTGTTTTAATATGGACATGCTTTTATCAAATTAGCCAACCTAAGGACACGAGTGTTCAAACATAAAGTTTGCAATGAGGCACCGACAATAAATACAAAAAAAAATTATCAGCTTGTTTTTCCTTCCTTTCTTTACAGTGTATATAGTAAGTAAAGTTCCACAACATTAATAAATAGTCATTTTGAGAGTAGTTCACACTTACTTCTCGTGTGATGTGGAAATGAATGGAACATTAAAACACTTTCTCATCAACATACTGACGTTTCCTCGCCACCTAGTGTGCAGGCTACAGTTTCTAGCTTGTCTGATAAATGGTAGTTCTGACATTTGGGATCTGTCACTAGTGCCTCAAAAATCTGCCAATGAAATACACAAAGTTACATGGTTACTTTATGCATGATATAAATATAAGGATAGAGAGAAAGGTATCTAACACAATACGCAAGTTTTCCGTTACTTTTATAAGTGGTTGATTAAAATGTATACAAAGAAGGAATGGTACACTGTTATCAAAAATGATGTATAGAGCCTAGAGTACTATTTGTAGTCTTATACGTTACTTATATCCGAAATGAAATTCAATAAGAATACTTCCTCCAACATTCAATGTTTACAGTATTATACAAATACTCACCTGATCCCTATATTTTATGACGTATCCATAAAGTTCCTTGAGGACATTTGTCATTTCTATTTCTCCCTTGTGTGCCTAAAGAAACAATTCCACACTTGTTAGTGACAACATTACCCTACATCAACCCAAAGGTGAAATACTAACATCTAATTAAAAGTATAACTGATGAAAAATCTTTAGTAGAAAGTCACTTCCTAACTAAACAAGTCAGCATAGTTTGGGACTTGACAAACTCTGCATGGTTTCAGACGTGTCAATGTCCAATTTATTGAGTAAATTATTATTATATTATTCATTTAGTTTCCCTCTTTATTTATTGGTAGAACTATAAATGCATGCTACACTTTAATACATGGTTCTCCCATGAGGAGAGGTTCTAAAAACTAGCAAATTATGAAAATGGTAACTAAAAATTCATTTTTTACGAATTTCCCCTTTTTTTACAATTTAAAAAAAACAGTCTTGTAAGGTCATTGAAAAATGTGATTCAATAATGTAAACTCTGCATGCAAGGGCACAGGACAAATAACCCTTGGACATTTCTTTATTAAAAGCAAAGGCTTGGAGGTTATGAATGCAGGATACTGGAGAGATAAGGTCAAGTGTAAGTCAGAAATACAAGCAGAAAGTTAGTCTAACAGGGTCAGGGCACATTCTTTGTCAAGTGAAATGTGTGCCATATTAATTATTATAAAAATAATCCATACAATTTAATCATGCAGTTTAATTGCAATGAGAGAATTAAGACTTGTAGTATTTCTGTTAACCTCAAACCAGCTTCTACTATACTCACTATAGTAGAAGACCCTCATATCCTGCTGACCAACTTATACTATACTCACTATAGTAGAAGACCCTCATATCCTGCTGACCAACTTATACTATACTCACTATAGTAGAAGACCCTCGTATCCTGCTGACCAACTTATACTATACTCACTATAGTGGAAGACCCTCGTATCCTGAGTATAAGTTGGTCAGCAGGATATGAGGGTCTTCCACTATAGTGAGTATAGTATAAGTTGGTCAGCAGGATACGAGGGTCTTCCACTATAGTGAGTATAGTATAAGTTGGTCAAAATACTCACTATAGTGGAAGACCCTCGTATCCTGCTGACCAACTTATACTATACTCACTATAGTAGAAGACCCTCATATCCTGCTGACCAACTTATACTATACTCACTATAGTAGAAGACCCTCATATCCTGCTGTCACTGCTACCCTGAAATACATGAGATAGTAGTCACGTATATGGATTCTGTGTGTCTGGACTAAAAGCTGATAGAACAAAGTAAGTACACTTACCAACGAGAGATTCTGCATAGCGGTCTTCATCTCTGGATCAGAGATTATTGGTAGCAGTGCAGTATCTTGATAGAACTTTCCAACCATTCGTCGATAAGTTGGAATGTCACGAGCAAAGAGTAACTTGCTTGAAGGAGAATCCTAGAAACAACAGTGGTGAGAAGATGTAAAAAAAATAAATTAATATATTTAACGAAATCTGAAGCAGCTGAAGGCCACTGCTTCTAACAAGTGTAAGTTAATAAGACCTAGTCATATTTTACCTTAACATAGTATGACGACCATTTTGTATACTCTAAGGCAACACTGGAGATGCTGAAGATGTGCAATTTGGAAACTATAATGGTATGTAATGGCTGTAGACGGCTTGAGTGAGTAATGAAGAAAAACTTTAATATAAGTTCAACATAACAGTAAATGTACAACGTTTCGACAAGGTTTTGTACCTGATGATGACAAAA